TGTGAAGATGAGACTGGCGTATCTAATGGGTGTCAGACTCACGTAAAGGATCCCATATTCAAAGATATGCTTAGCTCCCGATCCTTCCTGGTAAATCCAGGACCCATTGGGCAAAATAGTGGTTGTTCCTCCGGGATTGTTCTTATAGATGGCAGAGTCCTTTATGAGAGCGCCAAGACGTTGGAAAGCGACGAATTCGTTCAACATGGTTTTAACGCCGATGAGTTCAGCAATTTTGAGGCAGTCCTCTGAAGGCACTCCCATGGTAAATGCGATAGGCCAGAGGATGTAGGAGAAGACAAGCTAGATGTCAGGACAAACATTAGCGATGAGCGTAAAAGAAGCGAGTAGAGGTGAATATAGTCTCAGGTGGAGAATTAAGGACAAGGAACGAAAACAAAGGAATGCTAACCTCAAACGTGAGGTCCCTTGTCATACCGGCACGGTAGCCCAGCCAGGTAAGTGTTTGATTAAAGAAGTCGTAAATACTGAGGAAGGCGATCAGGTTGGCCGCAATACCAGCAACAATTGGTATCGAGTCCATAGCACCGACCATTGCCGCCTCGAGGACGTTGTGATAGGGGCTCTTCACCTGTTCACAAGCTGATACCTCTGCTAGCGGAGCACGTTTGGTCTCAGGGTAAATAACTTTGGCAACGGCCAGAGCTGCAGGTGCTGACATGACACATGCAATTAGCAAGTGGTTAGCAGGTACCTGTAAAATCAAAGGCAGATGATATTAACCTCTTCTCACTTTCATGCTATGTGAGGGGTCAACTTACACCAAAACTGATGTAAGCTGCTAACACGGAGCCCGCGACAGATGCGAAACCGTTTACGATGATGGCATTTAACTCGGAGTTTGTCATCATGTGCATGTAGGGTCGAGTAATGAGGGGCGACTCGGTCTATAAAAAAAACAACAGTGCAAAATGGAAGGTACTTCCCGTTTTAAAGTACTATAACGCCTTAATTCAACCTAATCAACAATAATCAGACTGGTGCGAAAAATTTACAACTTTCCTCCAGCTGGTACATCGCAAAGCCATTAGTCAACTCACCATGGAGACGAAGATGTTTGCAACAGCATTGAGAGTCTCAGGCCCTGTAGTGCCTAGCAATTTGGTAGCCCATACTGAGGGCTTGTCAATAAGAACGCTGATGATGCCAAGGTGGAAACACACCGAGATGAATGATGAGAAGAATATCACGACAGGCAGTACCTATAGAGTAAGTGACAGCGAGAATTGGTTAGTGTTTGAAGTTGGTAATATGCCACTAACGGAGGGCAGTGCTTGCAAATGACTCACGTTGAAAGCAAAGAAGGTAAGGTCACCAAATACAAAAGACGAGCCAGCTGTGCTGTGGGCTAGAAACTCAGACATACGATCGCCTAAGAATTGGAAGACAACGTAGCCAGGACGTGTTTGAAGTGTTAATACTGCAAAAACCAATTGAACGAAGATGCCTCCAATGACTGGTTGCCAGTTGATCTGTGGGTAAAGAGGGGAAAGTGGACAGGATGTGGCTCACTTTTTTGCCACTGCAAGATGGCAAGCCATTTAAAAGTAATGGGAAGATGTGTGCCTGCACACACTTCTACGTACTTTGCCTGGATGCTTTGAGATCGCGATGGCAATAAGCAGAAGTACAAAGATTCCAGATAGCGAGACCAAATTCCGCACACTTTTAAGAATGACGAAGAAGATGAGACAGAGGATTGTGAAGATGCCCATGATTATCAAGGCCACACTGGAAGGGTGAAACAGGGTAAGAGTTTAATGTGTGATGTGTTGTGGTTAGATGAGACGGGGCAAAGTAATTTGTGTACTGAGACTTACAGCTTTATTGCAAGCTTCTTCTTCTTCTTTTGGGTTTTCTTGTTGGGATCAATTCTATCCCACATGGATTGCCAGCCATTGTGGATTTTATCCTTAAAACTCTGCCAGCCACCAGAGATCTTGTCACCGAGAACGCCAAAGGGTGTGAAGCAACCACCAACCAATCGGCCAAGTCGACTGAGTCGATGGCAGATTTTGATAAGTATAACGAACCACACCAACGCTGAAAGCCAGACTAGTCGAATGTCATCCTCAGTAGCAAGCTTGTTGCAGATGATACAATACGTGACATAAGCGATATCGATGAGCAGGAGGAAGATTAGACCACAGAGACCACCGATTCCATCACAACACACTGGTTCGACGTCCTCCGCTATGGGCTTCTTCTTGCAGACAAACCTGCGTCCATTTGAAAACCACTGCAACACCTTGTTAAGGCCGCGTGGCGGACGCTTTGGTTTGTTGGGGAAGTCGTCGCCAACCCACTCCGTCATCGGCTTATCTGGTGGCTTCTCTAGACTTTCCTCATCTTCAGAATTGGAAGAGTCGGAAAATGAGGATTCATCATTGTCCGTGTCCTACAAGGACACAACCAAACATACGTTATTTCGGAGGCATTCAAAGGGTTGGACATGTCGCATAGACTGTGTGCATGCAACCATGCTTACCTCTTTCACGTAACCAACCTCAATATCATCTTCTACCTTTTCTTTTTTCATTTTACTGCGTAAACGTATGGAAAGAGGACCGAGTCGGTGCGCTTTTTATGCACGAAGCGCGCCATTGAGCGCGCTGGTATGCAGAGCTTGTGTTTGTGCCATTTGTTCTAGTGCATGATTGAGTCAATGGGTGTGGGTGATTGAAGGGCTACTGAGCATCGCATGAGAGTCCACAAGCCCACGCTCGTCGCATTAACTTGAGCTTAGTTCTATTTAAAAAAATTCTTTTTGTGACTTGCTTTGCCATTGAAGCCCTCAAAAATTCCCCACCAGGTGTAAAGCACTCGCAGTGGTATTTTTTTCAATACCACCTAATAAGTTCTACTAAATAAATAGAAGACTTGTTTGTACCACCGCTCGGATTGCGCCACAAGCGAGCCTGTC